ATGAATGAAGAATTAATTGTGCTTCAGATGTAAAGCAGATTTCATTACATGTTATCATTTTTTTATAGCAATTGGAGCAGATATCTTGGACTCAACTGGTCAGAATGTTCTGCAGTTTGGCATCTTGGAGCAGGAAGACACATGGTTTGAGTTGTCTCCGCAACAGCGGCTATATTTTGATGGAATGCGCCAGGTCAACTCATATCTTCGTGAGGAGTTTCACGCTATTCAAGAACTTCTGTGGAGGTCCGGCCAGTCTACCCTTTTTGGAGACATGCCTAGGAGGTCAATTAGCACAAGTTTTCCGTAAACATAACAGTTTATAGTACAGATTTCATGAGTCTCCTTCACCATCTGACATACGCTTTCTATTACAAGGTCTAGAGCTTGAAAAAGTGTGATACTATTAGGTTATTTAAATTAAGGGTGTTATGTTGAATTATCAGAGAGATGATAATAAATGCATACAGGGTTTTTTTTAAATTTATATTTATATAAAGAAGTTAAGTGGAAGGACATATTGTATACAGAATGTCATTACTGAGGTGAGTCTTAGAGAATGAGCTGACTTTGGCAAGCTGTTATTGTTGACAGTGTTGATAACCTTTTGAATTTTTTCTATCCCCCTGAATTCTACAAACAGAATCCTATTTTTTGGGCACTGGGTGTGCTCCCATCTTCAGGTGAAAAGTACCTGTTTGTTTGGGTCTTGGAGAGGATTAATCCCAATCAACTGCTATCTCTAACAGACCCATCTGAGTAGGTCCTTCTCATTTGAAGACAGGAGCAGACCCAACTCCCAAAATGTATTATTCTGTTTGTAGAATTTAGGACGATGGATAAAGTTCCAAAAATTGTTAATACTAACTGTAACACTTTCATCATCAGTACCTTTCAAGATTGCTTTATTGAGCTCCAAGCTGTTAAGAAGTAAAATATACATAAGAAATTTCTCCTTGTTCTCCATGTAAAAGAAGCAAAGCTGTCCCACTATACACCTTGTAGGCATTTGGGGTGAGAGGAGGTATAGCTCCTCTCTTCCTTGACCTCGGCACTAGATGGGGGTGAGTGGGCAGCATCAAGCCCCAGCCGGCTTTACCCCAGGGAAAGGACCCCGGTACGCATTGTAGAGGAGGCTGGGTGGGCCCCAGAGCCGGTCTGGACGCAGAGGCTAGAGGAAAAATCCTCTGCCCCGTCGGGGATCGAACCCCGGTCACCCAGTCTGTAGCCAGTCACTATACTGACTGAGCTACGCCGGCTCTGTTCTCTATGTAAGATGGCTTTTGTATAGGAAGCTGCTGCATACTATACTTCAGGCTACACTGGGATGGACTTTTCATATTATCCGAGACATACATGTGAAAAGTTAAGTAATGGTGAGTCAGGAAGCTAATCAGCCAGGAGGTATTAACAGGTTTCATGTTCTAGCTTGTATTTAACTAATTACATTGCATTTTTATCAATTTCAGATCTGTAGCACCATCAACACCATCAGATTCCTGTCGTATATTTGGTTCCCTTATTCTTAACAAGGTAGCAGGAAATTTCCACATCACAGCAGGCCATTCATTGTCTCTTCCTAGGGGTCATATTCACATATCTGCCTTCATGTCTGAATCAGACTACAATTTCACTCATCGTATCAACAGGTTCTCATTTGGAGATCCCAGTCCTGGTATTGTACACCCTCTGGAGGGGGATGAAAAAATTACTGATCAGAGTAAGTAGTACTTGATTACAAAAGTTCTTTGTAGAGGGTATTCCTTAAAAAAGTTGGGAGTTACTCAGTTTGTCAAGAAATTTTCAGCTTTTGTGGAACCCAGATGTTTATCACTATGTCCACAACAGCTAAACCATTGAGCCCTATTTTGAGGAGTGTATTATATTCATTTTCACTTCTTATTTCTCAAAGATACATTAATTATATTATTAATTATTAATATTTTCCTTACTTGTGCCTAGATCTCCAAGATTTACTTACAGTTTTCTGTACAGAGTTTATTGTGCAGTTAGTGTTTGTCCCATGCATGATTACTAACAGTATTGTGTGAATAACAAAATTCATGGAGCTGGATTGTCGTCGTTTCAATGTAACTATGTTAAAATACTTTTATGCCATTCTTGGGCACAAGCTTCAAAATACTCTTCTTTTCTGCTTTGGATTTTTTAAAGAATTTATCTTATCAGTTAGGTTATTCATCTCTTGGTATGCACTGGATCTGCTGAAAAAGTATATATTTTAATATGCATGAGGATAACAAAGCAGATGTATTGCACAAATCATTTGAACCCATTCCCTTATGTCATCTTCTTCTTCTAAGGCTCTCTGGTCCGTATTCGGTCCATGGCCTCCTCAGTTCTCCTCTTCCATTCGGTCCTCTGTTAGGTCCGTCTGTCCGAGGCTTTGATTGAGGTTTCGAAACATCTTCCTTTTTACGGTGCAAGGTTGTTAGCCTTGCGACCAACCCCCAACGTGGAGGACCAGGGTACCTAACTTAGTCTGACCTCTCCCCCTTGACCAATCTGGCTAGGGAGGCCCTACCAGTAGCTATGCCACCACCAGCATAGCTCTTGGGGTCACTGAGGTACTCAAGCCCCACCACCACCACCACAAGGTGCAGGTACCATTAAGTGGGGCCCTTATGTCATACTGATTTTTAATTACATCATTTATCTGTAATTTGTAGATGCCATCCTGTTCCAGTATTTTGTGGATGTTGTACCAACAGAAGTGAACACATTTATGAGTCGGCTCAGTACTTATCAGTATTCAGTGAAGGATCATGAACGTCCCATTGACCATCACAGAGGATCTCATGGTATACCAGGAATATTCTTCAAGTATGACATGAGTGCCCTCAAAGTTCATGTTACGCAGGAAAGAGACTCTCCAATCCAGTTCATTGTCAGACTGTCTGCCACCATAGCGGGAATTTGTGTAATATCAGGTGAGATTAGAATAGAATCCTTGGTTCTGATGAACTATAATGACATTTGTGTTTAGATAGTTGTAATGTAATTGTAAATATACATTTTATAAAACAAGTTAATCCATGCACATAATGTAGATTACTTTAAAATCTTTAGGTTTTATTTGAAGTGTTTTATATATTTAGTATTTAATTGAATATAAGGAAAATAATAACTTTCTGCTGTGTGATATGTACACAGGGTGTCAGAAGTATGTTTACAAACTTCGTGTGTGTGTTCCAAGATCAAAAATAAGAAAAAATGTTGCTATGGACATTGGGTCATAAATGTTTTCTTTTTCGAAATAATAGCCAAAAATTTTCAATGTTTGCCTTTATTGCCAAGTATAAGGACAGGGATGTTTCTTTATAACAGATGCTCAAAGGTTGTTCCTCCATTCTCCACACATGCACGAGCACGACGTACACAAGACTGATGAATTCGTTTGTACACACTAGGGTTTCCTCGTATCATCTGGAATGCATTCTGCACATGTTCCCATAGGTCGTCATCATTGTTTATGGGTGTTGCATAAACGATGGACTTCAAGTGACCCCACAGACAAAAGTCCAATGGAGTCAGGTCCGGGGACCTTGGTGGCCATGCTAGTGGACCACCACGCCCAATCCATCGCTGAGGGTACTGTTCATTGAGATGATGTCTGACGCGATGGGAGAAGTGTTCTGGGGCTCTGTCGTGCACAAACGACATTTGTCTTCTTATATTCAGTGGTACATCTTCAAGGAGACATGGCAAGTGTCTTCTTATGAATCGCCTATATGAAAGTCCTCCTAGACATGATGGAAGCATGTGCGTGGACCAATGAGAATGTCACCAACAAATTCCTGCCGAAACGTTAATTGAAAATTTTTGCTGCAAGCTGGATTCACTTTGTCATAAAGTAATTCACTGAAACTGTTATTTCGAAAATGAAACATTTGCAACCACATGTTCAAAATTTTTTTCTTATTTTTTCTTACCCTGTAGTGTGATTAATTTTTCAGCAGTAGATTAGCGTATGTTCATGTCTTTTCAACAGACTACAAGACAGAATCATAATATAAAGACAACAAATAAGTTCTTTGAAACTGTAGCAAAATTTAAATAATTGGGAACAGTGGTGACAAATTGAAATTGATTCATGATGAATTTAAGAGCAGTCTAAATTCATAAATAAATGTTTGCTATCAGTCTGCCTGTCTAAAAACGTAAAGATGAAAATATAGAAAACTGTAACTGTACATGTTGTTTTGTATTATGTGATGAAAATTGGTCTGTAACATTAAGGGAAGGGCAAAATTTGAAGGTGTTTGAGAATAGGGTACTTGGCAGAATATTTGGATGTAAGGAGTTTGAAGTTACAGGTGGCTGGAGGAAGTTTCATAACGAGGAACTCCATAATGTTCACTTATCCAATTATTATTAGGATGTATGCATCAGGGAGGATGTGATGGGTAGGGCACAGGAGAACAAAGAAATAAGTAAATAATTTTGTTCAGAAAACCTGACAGGAAGAGACCACTCAGAATACTTGTGCATAGTATGAGGAATAGATATTAAAGTGGATTTTAAGGAAATAGGGTGGGAAAATGTGAACTAGGTTAATGTGGCTCAGGGTAGGGATCTATAGTGGCTGTTTTGAACACAGTAACAAATCTTTGTGTTTCAGGGAAGGCAAAAGGGAAATGTTTTGATTAGCTGAGCTTGAATTAAGTAGATTTATATCTGCAGTAAATGAATATGAAGGCCATTTCTGCATTCAGAATAGCAAGGATACATTTGTTAAATTACCATAATTTGAGTCTTGTTTTTGAGTGATGGTACCATGTAGGTATAAGCTGTATTACTGACATTTTGGACATCCTTTGAAATACTGGCTATGCGCCTCATATCTGCATGGGCCATCACCTAAAAATGATATCCACATCAGTAGAGAATTTCTATTTAAACCTGAACTCATCAACCTCTGTGTTCTTTTGCAGGTTTTATCAATAGTTTTGTGCAGATAGTGATCAATATTCTGAAGTGTAAGTACATTAAAAAACCTCAGCATCGTATTGTGACAGAGAAGCTGCTTGTCACTGCTGATCTGCCAGCACACACTACTCCAGCTTCTCTGTTACAGCATAGCGAACCCTCGACAAATGTTCAGCCACTAGATTTAACAGTCGCTTCAGTACAAAAGTCTCCAGATATTATAACAAGTCATAATATTTTGAACACCTGACATTTTGCTGTAGGTGCATTTAATTATAGCATAAACAAGATAATACAGTGGAAGCAAAATCTGATTACTGCGGGATGATGCAAGCGAGTTCATCGTACACTCTATAAGAAAAACTCAGAAAATAATATGCAGACATTTTTAAAAGAAAACAATGAAACTGAATTTGTATTTTGAGTTCATTGCCATGAGAAGCATCAATATCCTATCCTCAGCCACTGTAGAAGCTGCCATGTGGGTCCGCTGAGTTGCGCGCGCAGTTTCACTGGCTTGCCCCCAAATTTAAATCAGATGTTTGTGGGATGACATGTGGAAAACTTCTCATTCCAGGGTTATGTCTAGTGGAGCTGTATTTTGGCATTTTCACTTCATTTTTTGCTGTAATCCATCTTGGATAAAGGATAGATGTAGGTATTCTGAAACACAAAAATATGTCTGTAAAATTATCATTCTTATTTTTATTGTGATTTCAAGGTGATATAGTCATGTAGAATTGCCACCTTTTTACTTTATTCTGTTTCTAAAATTATTTACTAGTTTTAGGGAAGGAGAAAATATAAATTTAATTCAGTAACATGGTTGATGAACTTATGTGGTCTTCCTGCCTAGAATCTGTGATTTCCCACCTGTTTTCTTGCACACGTGCACACACACACACACACACACATATATGTATATATATATATAATTATAGCACCACTAATATAAAAATTGTAAAAAAATCATTTGCAGATAGAACATAGAAAATTTCAAACAAGAAATCTTAACACAAGCATAATGTAAATCATTTATGTTTGTGTTATGATTTCCAGGTATTTCCTGTTTGAAATTTTATCTGTTCTATCTGCAAATGATTTTTAGCATTTTTATATTAGTGGTAGCAATTGGGATCAAACCAGGAACTCTTTGAATACTTGTCTCATATGCTGTTGATCTGGTGGTTTACATAAGAGGTTGGTATTTGAATGGTTTAGGTGCTAACACTAGATGGTTGAGGAGGGGTTAATGTAACATTTTGTTTTACACCAATTTAAGTTGGTATTGAATCCACAGTCCTTTGGATACTATCCTCATATCCTAACCTCAAAATTCATCTTTTTCATATGGTGCTGGGGTTTAGCCTGACAGCTAATACTCATTTAAAACTACAAATATGTGTGTATAATGATAAGTAGTCAGTTTGAAATACTATTTACTTCTATTTGACTATGTTAGAATGTGGTACATTTATTAACTTTTATTATGTTCTGTTACAATGAAAAGGACAAAGGACAAGATAATGGAAGGTACTTAATTTATATCAGTTTCCTGTAACTGCTACAAAGTATTGTACCTCCTTAATTGTTACCTCTTAAGTGGGTTATCTTGACAACCTCTCTCTTCCAACAAACTCTTCACATTTTCCCCATTATTTGCTGTAAAATGATTGCATAGAATTGCAGAGCTGACCAATTTTGTTGTTTCCATTTTTCATTAACTAATGTTTAGAAATTTTATCGTGAATATGTTGATATTCCAGTTATAACTATAATCGTGAAGTTTGTTTTATAACTGAATGTCTTATTTGTAAGTTTACAAAGTGTTCAGTGTTTGTGTTGCGTTTGATCAAATTGTGGATTTCTTTTGCACAATGTTTCTCTTTTATGTTATGGGAAAATTCTGAGTGTCCAGATATATAATCAATTGATAGTTAATGCAAATACAATAGACAGAGGGAATGTTTTTGAGAAGGAGGTGCTAAATATTCTTATGAAATTTTATAAATGACATGTTGGCAATTGTATATTTTTATGCACTAGTTTCAAGCGTACTGTAACTGTAAGTAATGCTACAGGATTGTAGAATGCTTTTGTTCATGGTTAGAATTTGGGCAAGGGAAGGTTTGAAGACACTAGTTACCTTCTTTCTAAATGCCATAGGTTAGGTTAGGTAAAAAATAAAATCATTTCTTTGCATGCCATTGTTAAGATGGATAAACCTACATTATGATACTTGATAAAGTAAGAAATTTTTTAACTTACTTTGAGAAATAATATAATCAAAGAAACCTTTGAAAATATACAAGTGTCCTAAAAATAAGTTCAAAGAACAGAAGTTTCCAACATTTGGTCAGATCAACTCACTCATTAGAAAATCCCAGTCTGTTGGACTTGTAAGTTTGTGAATAACACATACGTACTTTGTATGAATAGGAATGGTGTACTGAATTAAGTTATATGTAAAATTCAGCTCTGTATATCAGTCCCATGATGGATCTCAGATTATCAGAGAACATTTTCTGTGAAGATGGACAAACTAATAATTTACTGATCGCTTAATAATTTTGTGTGATTACATCAAGATTTTATTAGTTTAACTTCAAGACCATCTGGTGATACTTCAGTAGAAATGTTGCATATAATTTTTTAAAATAACCATGACTGAGTTTCATTGGCAACTCCATCTCCCAGGCCTGAACTCAGGCTAATCATGAGATTTTCAAGGTTTTCCTCTAATCTTCCATTGAATACCAAAATAACTTAATTTGTCGTCTTATTTATCAGCCTGTATTTTTATTTGATGCTATGGTACTGTGTTTAGAACTCCACTAATAACTATCATTAATAATTGTTAATAAACAATATATTAGCTTCTTCAGCTTTTAGCAGAAGTACTGTTACATCATTAGAAGAAGTAGATCAATATTTTAGCTTCTTCAGCTTTTAGCAGAAATACTGTTACATCATTAGAAGAAGTAGATCATTTGAAATGTATTACGTTGTGTACAGAGACGGGAAGTATTTTCAAATTAGGGAAGGGCTAAATCCTGCCAACTGGATGTATTGCTGGAAGCTGGGAATCGCAGATCCATCTACTCTCATGGCAGATCACTGGTACTGAACCTCTGTACATCGCAGTTAACATCCATTTTCGTATTCGGGAAAACCAGGATTCAAATTTGGCTGCAGAGTGGGACTAACTTGATTGGGATTTTTCTTGGATTTCGTCAGTTCCTAATGGCAAATTCCAAGCTAATACCTTAAATTAGGAAATGACTGTTTTCATATTGTTCCTAATTTATTAATCCTCCTATCATTCGACACTATATTATGAGCTTCTGGCAGCGTCGTAGTATAAAATACAGTTCTACCATAGATAAATAAACAAACGTGTGTAGAGATTGAAATCCTAAACAAAAGTTATTTCTTACAGTCACGTGTTTGAATTTCAATGATGCATTAATTACCTGGGGCCACAGATAACTTCTCTATGTGATCGATAGTTCGAAGTAAGAAATGGTCAATTGCATTGATTTGCCATAGGCAGAAGGATGCCCAGAAGACAGGAAGAAAAGGTAAGTTTTGTTATTTTTTTGGCATAAGTGTACAGTGCAAGACAGAGATATATAATTTCTATACTTTGTGTCCACTAAGAAGATCTAAAGCTCTACATAAGAAGTAGGAAGGTATGTAGATAAAGTGTCATTTCCTTTCTTGATTTAGTACCACATCATGCAGAGAAAATGGCCCAAGTGGAGTCAAATTTTGTTGATTATGTTCAGATGAACATACAGTTTCTAATATTATGCATTAGCACGATTGTTTTTGTGAGGTCAATAAATGTTATTAATTGAATTTCTTTGCTGATATTGTTTTTGCGAAAACGCTATTGCCCTAATGTTCGCAATGTGGCATGAATTATATCAGCCTCCAATAATGTGCTGTCTGTGGAACACGTCTGTACGTGTTCTTTCCCCCTCTTCTTCCTTCTCTTCCTCCTCCTCTTCCTCCTCCTCCTCCTCTTCTTCTTCTTCTTCTTCTTCTTCTTCTTCTTCTTCTTCTTCTTCTTCTTCTTCTTCTTCTTCTTCTTCTTCTTCTTCTTCTTCTTCTTCTTCTTCTTCGTTTTATTAAGAGGTTCGTACGTAATGTGCAGTGATTTGACATAAATGCTGGGAGATACAGTAGTCTAACCTCACACTACTTCTGTGAGTGACCGTCATTGCATTACATTGTGTTACAATCTTTATTAATTTTTACTTGTAATTGAATTCTGTATTACACTGCCTGTCTAATGAACATACCTCATCATCGTGCTTAATCTACATTGTATTCACTGTCATTCATTTACGAAGAATTTGTATGTGGAAGTGTTAGCAGTAGGTTATTTACAGTTTCAAAAAAGCGGATGTGGAGATCCAACATAAACTCTGAAGCAGATGGCATGCCGGGCTTTCTTTTCCTCTCCGAAAGATGTTCATAGCGGAATAAGATGCAGGTAAGAAGATGGATCCACATCAAATGCAACAACATTTAGTCCATAAATCTGAATTTAGCATGTGCAAGAAATTTTACAAATCTTGTAATACATTTTTGTAAGAAGTAATAGGTAGGTGCAAAAACTTGAGAAGTAGGAATATTAATAAAAATATATTTAGAATGTTTTGTTTGGAAGTAATGCTATTGTAGGTTATAAAATCAATTTGCCGTGCGGAAACAGTTCAAAAACTAGCGTTTTCAGTTCGTTCAGCGGTCTTGACACATGTAGCTATCGGCTTCTGCGAGGAATAGTCTGCCTGTAGCACAACATTTTCAGTCCGATACACACACATTTGGGGACAATGTTTGCGGCTTCACTCTCAAATGAGATTCAGTGGTTATTGTTCGTAGCTACTTGAATTTTTTTATTTGTTCTTTGCGCTTTACGGTGATCGAGAACAACTTTTGAGGATTTTCCGTCCGTCGAGTATTTCAGCCGAAAATATACTGCCATCTATCAGTGGCAATATGAACTGCTTGTCTTCTCTACCAGAGGTCAGAAAAGTTTATAGGTTAAAGTTTCACTCGTCCAAATTGATCTTTGTAAAGATTACACGTTGCGGTAGGGACTGAATTTTCTAGTTGCTATGAAAATGTTCATCTTCTTCTTTCAGCGGAGCAGAAGTTGACGTAAACAAATTATCTTTATGTTGGTGGTCATTATGACGATGGCGACTAATGTGATAACGATGTTTATTATTATTACGCTATAGAAACTGATCTGTCATGTGTTTAATCGATAAGGTGTTAACAAATTTATCTTAATGTTGTCATGTAGTGTTTTCTTTGTGGTAGGGATTGGTTGTTACGACGTCAGACCAACGTCTGTTGAGCTGGAGGTCTTTCTAATGCTGACGGGTTTTATTTGCTTTGCTGTTGGGGCTGAGTTTTCTAGTACCCCAGATATTATGCACTTGTTTGCGCCCGTTTCTCGATGAATCGTTGTAGATTTCGAGAGGAATCTCATTTTGAACCTTGTTCCCTGAACTCGTCATAACGCGGCCTAGATACTGGCAAATTATGGTCTGTAGTTTCTCATCATAATTGATTTCGCTAGGAAGTTGGTGGGGAATCAATATATTAAAATGTATGTTGGTGAGATGAAGTTGTGATTCTTTGAAATGTATGGGATTAGCTCAGGACAGTGTTTAATGGCGGGATTTGGTATTAGAGATGATGAATCTGCTACCTACATGAATTTTCATTTCGGACTATTTAAAATGTGCTGTGGTCAGTCAATTTAACATTTTAATTTTTCTTTAAAAAGTCCGATATGTAAACATTTCAAGCAGTCCGACATTACTGCTGTGTGCTTGATGCCAGCTGTTTCTGGTCAGTGTCGATAGATGGCACACGCGACAGGTGTAGGTCACTGAATGCTGTACTGACGAGATGGTGCCACCAGTACCATTAGCATTCTCGGACAGGATTTTACGTAACTCGTTTCGTACCATGGACACAACCATTGATACTGTAACAGGCCACTGTTTTGTTTTGGTAATGTGGCCTTTGGACCGGCCAGCAGATTATCTTGTACAGACAAGTCTTACATTTCGTGGCAAGACATCACAGTTTGTTCCTATACTCAGCTATAGCTCCTAACAACAAACTGTTTCATGGTGCTATTGGAAATACGGTTTTCTGTTCAGGATTTCAAATATATATAGTCATTTCCTATAACGCGTGCTTTCATAACGGGAATTGGCGATAACGCGATTGATTGATAAGAGAAACTCGGGTGCATATTGAATAATCGAAATAAACCAAATAAAGAAATCCAGAGAAGAAAACCATAAACGCAGGCGTGAAAAGGGCTCCAATTTTTCTGACTTGGCTAGGAATACGCTTTTTAATATAAACGAGCGCACACAAACGGTTGTGCTGGCAACAGTTTTAATAAATTCGGACTACGTTATCTGAAGACATTCGTGCATTATGTTAATGTAGTTAAATGCCAAATAATTATTGGGTGATGAAATGAAGGATGGAAAGATGAGTAAATGCATACACAATTTTGTTCAGAAAAAAAAACCCTGAAGCGATCACACCACCTAAGAAACCTTCGCACAGATAGCAGGATAGTATTAAAATGGATCTAAAGAAAATTGGTGTGAAGAGTGGACTGGATTTATTTGAACATAATATCGTCCACTGATCGTCGGTTGCGGGCTGCATACAGGGAACAAAATTTCTAAACCAGCTGAGTAACTGCTAGTTTCACCATGCACATAAGTCTGTCCGTCTTCCTTCCCTGTGCCTATTTGGATGTAAGATGCCGGATTTTGTTCAAAATTTGGCTTTAAAAGCGGTAATCAATGAGTTCACGTATGGGCCTATATTAGTGTGAACTCATTTTACAAGAAGTCATGAACATATTTTTAGATGACTTTTAAAGTCGCCCTGAAGACGATGGTAGTAAACACCTCTGAAACGTCTGTCAATTTATATGAGACTACACGGCCCAACATCCCAGAAGAGAGTCGTATTCTGTCTGAACGTTATTTGGAAGTGTGATCGTAGTTAGTATTGGTTACAATTTGATATCAGAAAATCATGATGAGCGATGAGATATTTTTATCATCGTTATTGAGAGAGGAAACATTTATGATTTCCTTCAAAGTTGTTTATCTGTACTCCGTGGTGTGAGTCTTAGCAGAGAGCGCGTTTTCTCTTGTGAGAGAGGAAAGGCTAGGCAGAGCTATATTTACGTACAATTTGCCCAAGAAATATTGAACTGTGTTTGAGTCCTGTCAAATCACCTATATTCCCTAAATGTGCTCATCTATTCTTTTGATATAGGCCGACATTTATGTATTGACCCTCAAATATTACTCTTTCTTCCGTGTCCATTTCTTCTTCGGAGAAATTTGAAAAGGCAGAAAAGCTTACTTAAAACTAGTCAGTTTTATATTAAACAACCGTAGACTGCGGAAGGCAGGGTGTGTGGTATCTGATATAGTATGGGGAATATTAAAAGGAAAATTCCATTTTAGCGAACTTTTACACATTTCTTAGGTGGCTGTCTTTTGGAAAGTTCCATTTAACTAATTAACTTCCGTATACAAATTGTTCATTACTTACTAAGTTTTGGGACTCTGTTTCATAATGTTAATTTCTCTTCAGATCTAATTATTTTATATACGTCCCAGCTGATTTAGATATTGCTTATGAATTTTGATTTCGAAGTTCACTTACATCATATTTCTTACGTTTTTCTGTTTAATCATACGCGTTGTATTGAATTATTGAACATCATGACAGTTCATTGTATGAAAATTGTAAAATTTTCAAATAAATCTTCTGTAATAATTTAGTTATTTAGTTATTATACTTACAGGCAAATTACCTTCGAGGATAATTCTTTCAGTCGAGATTTTAGGTTCTCACGGCATTGAGTATAAAGATAAGTATCTTTTGGAATCGACAAACGAAACAGTATCAGGAAAAAGCGTTGCATTACATTTTAAAACGTTTCTTGACGAAACTTAAAGTGATGAAGAAGGACTTCAAGTCTTTTATGAATAAACCAATTTCAAATCATGTAATTCCGCATCAAACTGAAAAGAAGATACTCAAATGTAATTGAATCACACAGTAATTTTCATTAGTTGGTATAATTTGTTATCTAAGCCTCATCATTAGCACGTCTATGGAAATAATTTACCTGGGACAAATTCTAGATTCCATTTATAATGCTAGCCACGTTTCTTCTTATGGGCCAAAATGTGACACGCCTTCAAGGGGTAAATCACCTCGTGTTCTCATGTTAGACTCACAAAGTACATTTAAGAAAGGTATGACCGTGTTCTTCGTCGCCTTTATAAATATTGCACGCTTGGAGAAACGTAATAAAGTTATTGTAAGGACTAGTACAGGAATTGTATCATTAAAGTGACGTAACGGGTCCTTGTTTGAAGGTAACAAGATAGCACTCCAGTAGCACCGATAGAAAATCCAATTCGAATGAGAGTCCTTCATAGTCCTTAATTCCTCGACAAGTAAAGTAGAACGTGTGCCACCTATTCAGGTAGAATAAGTGTAAGAAGGCAGGGTTATGTTAAAGTCTCATCAAAACAGACACTACACTGTGATAAAAGATTAATAACAAATGTAACTCAAACGATCCCTGACCTAAGCCACTGCAGCATTCTGATAATATTATCATTATTTATTAACCCTTTGAAGTCGCATCTTGTCTAAATAATATTTAATAATTTTGTCTTTACCACAAAGAGAAAACAACTTTGTCTTAAGATTTAATTATTCGTGTTTTTTTCGTCTAATCACAATTGTATATAAATAACATTTATACATAAGATATTAAAATATCATTTACATATTTGGTACATCGTTTACTACATGTTTCGGTTACATTGAACCATCTTCAGGTGTAAAGTTAAAAGTTAAAAATTATAATCTTATAAACTAAAACTTAATTACTGTTGTTGTGTAACTTCTGATGATGTTTACTTCCAAATTCATTGGAGTGAGGGTAATTAAGTTTTAGTTTATAAGATTATAATTTTTAACTTTTAACTTTACACCTGAAGATGGTTCAATGTAACCGAAACATGTAGTAAACGATGTACCAAATATGTAAATGATATTTTAATATCTTATGTATAAATGTTATTTATATACAATTGTGATTAGACGAAAAAAACACGAATAATTAAATCTTAAGACAAAGTTGTTTTCTCTTTGTGGTAAAGACAAAATTATTAAATATTATTTAGACAAGATGCGACTTCAAAGGGTTAATAAATAATGATAATATTATCAGAATGCTGCAGTGGCTTAGGTCAGGGATCGTTTGAGTTACATTTGTTATTAATCTTTTATCACAGTGTAGTGTCTGTTTTGATGAGACTTTAACATAACCCTGCCTTCTTACACTTATTCTACCTGAATAGGTGGCACGCGTTCTACTTTACTTGTCGAGGAATTAAGGACTATGAAGGACTCTCATTCGAATTGGATTTTCTATCGGTGCTACTGGAGTGCTATCTTGTTACCTTCAAACAAGGACCCGTTACGTCACTTTAATGATACAATTCCTGTACTAGTCCTTACAATAACTTTATTACGTTTCTCCAAGCGTGCAATATTTATAAAGGCGACGAAGA